AAGAACTTGCATCAACCCACACATTCCCCTCGTTCCCATGTACAGCCCATTCACCATAAGCTGGATCGCACTTTGCAACCTCATCATAAACCTCTTTTAATTTAATTTTTGAAATTTGTAAAGTCATATCCATGCATATACCTAAGACCTTGCACAAAAATCTTTTGAGAAAATTTTTTTTTAACTCAATCGTAAATCAATGCCTATGTGTTACGCAGTTTCAACTGAGACAAAATCTCTCAAGTTAAATTTGCTGTAACTATTCTTTTCTCAAAACGTAAAGGGTGGAATGTAAGAAGCGAAATTTGACTTAAACTATGAAGTCTGACTTAACAAGTAAAAGGTTAACACAAGTTAGATTTCATCTAACGACAGATCCTTTTTGTTAAACGTAACAAGCCAGCAGTTAAACGGTAGGATCAAAATCTAGATAATAGATCAGAGGCAGATCAAGCAATTTTTTGATCTTGGAGATAGCTGCCTTCTAAACACGGAGCAAATTTCAAAGATTTATATGTTTATACACATGGCAAATAAGGATGCTTTGAAAAAAAATACTGCTCAATATGAGCTGACTAGTATCTTTGAAGTAACAAAAAGAGTGTGGCCATTCGGTTCAATATATGAATTAGAGAAAAAGTTCTTTGCATTTATTAGGTTTATAATATAAACAAATAATTTCAGCTAAAATCACCTATTCATTTTTTCTATTTTATTTGAAGACATAAAATAAAGACTGACTTTTTCAAACTCTAATACTATAACAGGAATTTCTACAATTCTACAAATATCGTCTCAAAGTCGCTTAATTTTGTTTTAGAACTTAACGAGGATAATGCAATCTTGGAACTTTTAAAAAAGTTTTAAAAACTTAATGGTTATTACATAAGTACATTTTTATTACAACTAATACAAAATTAATACAAAATAAACTCAGCTTTTTTATTATTTGTTACGTAAAGCATTTTACAATATCAATATTATTGTATACCATTGGAGTCACTATATATATATTAGGATCAGCCGAAAACCTTTTTTTTTCTGATTTTCGATTCACTTTACCGCGGAAAACATATCCTAAAAGTATCTAAGAAAACTGCAAAAAAAAAAAAATAATACAAATATTTTACATCTGGAGCTAGCCCATTGTACTTGAATATTTAAATAATTACTCGTTTTTTATCATTTTTGTAATAAATTTCGCTTTAGAGTATTCCCAAAATGTGCTGCAAAACTGGTGCGATTCTAGCCACAACAACTTGTTTCGATAAAATATTTTTTTGATTAGTTGATAATATTAACCAATCGTCATGGCTGTTTTTAAAAAAATTGCTTGTAGCGAATTTAACTGCCCGATTTTCGGTCATCCAGTAGAACAATCTGTAAATAAACTTCCAACTTATAAAGAAGTTTTTAAGTGTTGTTTTAATGAAAATTACAAACCAGCCTTGAAATCAAACAATAAGCCATTATATTTTCTTATGTTTCAAATTGTGTCGCACACCAAGTTAAATTAGTGTTTAATAAAGTTTCAATACCCACAGTAACGATTTACAGAGTTGTCCAATTGATAAATGGATATCATGACAGTTATCTTAACCTTATGAAATCCTTCAAGTGTATTAAACAAAAAGGAAAGTTTAAAAAGAGAGTTTAAAAACAAAGTCATTGTTGATGTTTTATGTCTCAGCGTGTTAGTGTAAAATAACATTAAACTGCAAATGTAAAATGGTCACTGAAATTTGTGAATGCGAGTGTTCTGTTTCAATTATCTGTAAGTGTGAAAAAGAAAAAAAAATTCCATCATTGAAATAAAATTTTTATACATCCAAATAATTCATGGACACAAAGCCACGATAGGAAATTTGCTGAACTCAAAAGAACTTTGCCCCCTAATAGTCTATTATTGTTCAAACCATTTAAATGAAAGACTAAAGAAAAAAGAATTCGATAATGATGCCTCCATAACCATTGAAAAAGTTATCGATGAAGAATTAAAAGAATTTAAGCTAACTAAGCCATCATTGCAGATGCACATTACAATAAAAAGTACTGCTCTCATTAGTGATCGCTATGGATTATCAGACAGAGCAACAGCAGGTATTGTCTCAAGTGTTTTGCAAAATTTTGGTATTATAACCAATTATGATCACAATCTTGTTGTTGGAAAAAATAAAATTAGTAAAACAATAGTGGATAATTGTTCAGAACTTCAAATGCAGAGCAAGAAATAATATAACCCACTTTAAGTACTGTAGTTTGATGGGAGGAAAGTCAAAATTCAGTGGTTGAAAAACTTAAATTAAAAGGTTCTGACTAACCATAAAAGAGGAGCATTACTCAATTTTACAAGAACCAGGTTTCATGTACGTTGATCATGTTTCAAAAACTTCTGGGTCTGCTGAAAATAATGCCAGTAGCATTACTTCATATTTAAATGGAGCTAGATTTTTATTCATGAAGTAAACGTAATCGGATGCAATGACACTGTTACTAACATGGAATGGAAATCCGGTGAAAAATATGTAAAAAGACCACTGCAGAAGGGGATTTGTTGCCATTTCAGCATTTATTTCAAACATTAGACGGAGAAACGACAGAGCCAAAATCGTATAGCGGTCCGATTGGCGCACAGCTTAATAAGTGTGAGAAATTACCAGTGTTAAAGTTTACCAGTGTCAATTGTGAAATTTCAGAAATTGACCTCAAAATATTGAGCAAAGATCAGCAGTTCTTTTTGGATATAAGTTTGGGTATTAAATTAGGCAGTTGTTCTGAAGATTTATCTGTTCGTGAACCTGGAACAATATTACTTTCAAGTTGATTAACAATGGAAAACAGAGTTTTACAACCGTGTTTGAGCCTTGAAACCCTAACAGAGAAGCACAAAATCTTAGTTTCATTTCTTTTAAAATCATATGTCCCTGGATGATTTTAAAAAAACGTAAATAGTTCACAAATGAAGCAGAACATGTATTTGAAATGATAAAATCGTCAAGATTCCTGCCCAATGATTTCCTAAAAGTAATTGACCTAATAATTGAAAAAAAGGCCTTTTTTGCACATTCAAAAAACTTGTTTTTAACAATGGTAGTAGACAAACCAGTTCATATTTGGGAATTAGGTTTTAGAAGAATTATAAAGTCAAGAAGCTTAATTTCTCAAAAAAAGTTTATCAGGAGTTTTCAACCATCCAAAGTTAATTTCCTTGCCACAGAATATACAGAGATAAATGACTGAAACATTACTACACTTTTGCCGCCACCTTTGCTGCAAAGAATATTTGATAAAGATATTTGGTCAAAGATCCAATCAGGTCAAACAGTGTCTGATTGGAACTTTGAAAAGTTTACATGTCACATTTACGAGTAGAACGATGCTTGTAACAGAGGCTTCATAAAAAGTAGTTGGCTTCAATCCAGAGATGGCATTATAAGAACTGCACATAACTCCAAACGCCTAATTTTTCAAGCAAATCATATTTTAAACTACCAATAGAAATTAGCTGAAAGTAAAAGAATATATTTCTGCAAAAAAGTGTTAGTTGAAAAGATGATTTTTTAATAATAAAAAAAATTTCTTTTTTAGCAATCCAATACTTTTTCTACTTAAATTGTCTCTAGTTATTTGTTAAAGAATTCATTTAATTTCATTTCAGTTAGAAAATTATGAAAAGGGCAAATTTCTTCGATTATTCAAGCGCGATGCGCTTGCTCCAGACGTAAAATAATAATATTATTTTTTTTTTTGCATTATCCTTAGCTACCCTCAAGACAAGTTTTTTGCGGTATTGCGAGTCAAAAATCAGAAAAAAAATTTTTTCGACCCACCCTAATATATATAAATTTTCGTCACACATTTACAAATTGATAATGGCGATTTGTTTTTTTATTTCAAGTTTGTTATCAAAGATTGGTCGTACTTCAAAAACTGACTTGAAATCTGATTTTTCAAGAGCAACTTTACGTCAAGTTCGTTTTATGCATTACACTTTAGTCAAACTTCAAACTTCAAGTATAACTTGAAGTTTAAGTTCGCTTCTTGCATTCGCAAAAGAATTTTGTATACTCAAGTATGCTATTCAAGTCTAACTTGAAAACCACTGATTTTCAAGTAAGACTTAATTTCTTGTTCACTGTGTACATTTGCTCAAGTTGAGCTTCAAATTTGAAGTATGACTTCAAATTTAAAGTGCGCTTCTTGCATTTCACCTTAAATATCATCATTATTAAATACATTAGATAAGAAATTAGACAATTTAATAGCTAATTTTTTATATAAGTAAAAGATTTTTAGTGAAACATCTGAAATAACAAAACTGTTTCGTGAAAATTCTTTAAAATAAACTTTAAAGAGTGTTGGGACTTATTAGGACCTTATTTGCATTACTCCATAAAACTTTATCAAATGTTTTATATTTTTTAGATAAAGAATTAATAAAAATATTTTTTTAAGGAACTGTTTATTTTGATATAAAAACTCAAATGCATTAAAATGAAAACCAAAATAAAGCATTTAAAACATTTTGAGAAAAATGTGAAAAAGTTTTTTAATTAACAATGAAGGACGTTATAATAACGTTAGGTTTAACTGAGAAAAAGTCAAAAAACTGTAACATTATTGACAACAAAGTTTGAGACTGTATTCTCACACAGTGTTCGACTACTTTAAACGCAAACTAAAATTTTATTTATAAAGAATATAACTAGGGATTTTGTGAAAGTTTTCTTGTTTCTTTACAAAATATAGCTACCAAATAAAAAACCCAACATAAATATTCTTTTGCGTCTATTTTTAAAAATGTGCATAATTACATTTACCATATAAAACTAAAAATAAGTAACAAATTATGTTTAAAGTTTACATTTAACAGTGCTTTTCAAGTGTTGTTAATGATTTTTTTTATTAAAATGTTATTGTTTTTTAAAACTTTTTTATTTTAATATTAATTTATTGCTGCGTATTTCTTTTTTCTAATAGATATGTTTGATAAATTCTAGGTTGAAAAATGGTGTCCGTTATAAAATGGAGAACTAAAAGAAACGTTAATTTAATTGCATTTTTTTTATTGCTTCATACTCAAAAAATAACCTTTATAATTTTGAACTTGTAAAACATTGTCTTTTATTTGCTTTATCTATATAAATAAGGAGGAACTATATTTTTATTTTCACTTTTCATTAAAAAAAATTTAATTTCGTTCTTTATATTGTCAAAAGTAAGATTTAATTTATTTTTCCTAAAATTAGGATTGTTTAGTTGTTTTTTTTTAATGTTTTAGTTTTTTTTTTTTAATGTTTTAATTAATCTTAGGTTCAGATTAATTTGTTATTAATCTAAACCTAATAATAAATACATATGTAACGCTTGTTGAGTAATTTATAAATAAAAGTAAACTGGTAGTCTATAACAAATACTCAATATAGATTATTTGTATCCATTGCTAAACAATCATTTTGCAACTAAAACGGAGCGTGTAATAAAAAGTTTGCAGCTGATTTTCAAACGTTATTTCTAGCTTATTTGGAACGATAAAACTGTAACTTATTTACAATGTATAATCTATTACTAATGTGAAGTGATAAAGCCCATGGTAAAATAAAACGGGTAAGCTGTAACAAGCCCTGAAAATACTTTTAAACTTTGTTTAAAATCCGTTTGTACTTATTTAGTATATTTTTAAATCTCTACAAAGTAATTAAACGAAAATAAAAGTTTCATCTCATATTTTGGTGTTTGAAAATTATTGCCGTAAAATCTAATAAAACTTTCCTCGTTTTGCATGGTAATAACTTTTGAACTGTAAATGATTGTTAACATGTGATACCTAGAAATCCGGACAAAAGTTCGGTCGACATAAATTGTTTAAGTAGTATTGCAAAATTGTTGCAACTTATGCTATGTTGTAGCAAACTTAATTGTCTACAAATTGCAATATATCTTTTAGCAAACTATTATTTATAATGGCAATAAACATTATCTCAAAACAGGAAGACCTCAGAAAGCGCGTGAACGCGTTAATCGATTTGCATTCGGACATAAAGAAAAGTGAGATTGTGAGACACTTCATAATCGAAGGCGCATTAAGGTCGACCCTGTATAATATTCTGCAGCGCAAGACGCTCAATATAAGCCCTGAAAGACAGCGTTGAACTGGACGGGTGGCAATTAAGATGAACGCAAAGCGAATCACCATGCTGAAAAAGCGAACTGATCATAGTGTGGAGTTAGCCAGCGTCAGCTTGCCCGCGAGTATGGTATCAGCCAAAAACACATATTAAAAACAATTAAAACCAAGACAATAATCAAATACAAAAAGAAGGAAAAAGTTCCGGATCGAACTCCACAACAGAAGTCAGCCGTTCGTCCGAAGGGTGCCCACCTGGCCAGAGTTCTCCTGAAAAATCAGGTGATCATTGACGACAAGTCCTAGTTTTCGTTGAACAATAACGAGCTATCTGGAAACGCTGGTTTCTACACATCTAAGGTCGAAATGTCTCCAAAAGCTGTTAAACTCAATCAAAAGTCCAAGTTTGAGCCAAAGGTACTTGTTTGGATTGCAATGTTCGAGGACGGCCTGTCGAAGCACCTGGTGATACCTTTGGGCCAAGCGATCAATCAAGATGTCTACATCCAGAAGTGCTTGATGAAGCGCTTGATTCCGTTCATCGAAAGTGTTCATAAGAACGACAAGATCGTTTTCTGGCCTGACCTCGCTACGTCTCATTACGCAAAAAAGACGCAGGAGTTCCTCCAAGCGAATAACATCGAATTCGTGCCTAAGGAACATTACCCTGCCAATGAGCCAGAACTCCGACTAATTGAAGACTTTTAGTCAGAACTTAAACGAAGAGTATATGATTGTGGTTGGAGAGCAAAAACTGTTGACCAGCTCACTGACAGGATCAACTACTGCATAAAACGGATCAGTCAAGATCGCGTACATTGACTAGGCAAGGCTTCTTTCAGCCGAGTGGACAACGTTCGTAGACATGGCGTGATAAACTTATAATTTTTTTAAATACGAAGCTTCATATGTTTAACTTTAATTATCTTTTTAAAGAAATAAAGTTGCATCTTTAGTCTCAAAGTTATAATTTTTGTAGTTTTGTCCGGATTTCTAGGTATCACATGTTAGTTGAATTTTTAAATCTGTCAATATATATAAATTGAGCTTAGTTAAAACATACAGCCTTTCCATATCGTATGTTTGCTAAATATAAATTACTTCGTCTTTTTAAGGCAAAGGATCTTTTTAAGAGCGGAGCCCGATCAACTATTCCACCTGTCCAATCTAATTATCGCAGTAATCTAATTATCGCAGTTCTGTAGCTATTAATATTGAGATAATATGTTCTTAACTACATTATGTAGCAATGTAGCTAGCTACAACATAATGCTAGTTTGTAGCTACAACATAACGCTACTTTGTTGATAGTTAATTGCTAAATACCGCATCGTTGTACATGACGATATTATGGTAGATACAGATCGTAGGTATTCTGCTAGCTACAATATAACAACAAATTTAAAACTAGGCAATAAATACATATTGTACATTTTCAGATAGACATATTAGGTTTCCATTATTGTACCGGCGCTTAAGTTGTAGTTTTGCAGTAATAGTATCTGCTAACTTTAGTCAAAAAGTAAAATACTTTAGCCGAACTTAAGTTTTGCTATATTGAACTAATTAATCAATTACTTTTTGTAAAATGAAACTGGATTCTGGACCAAGTTTCTTATTTTTGGAGTTCGATGTTAAGAGTTCTTTAAACATCTTAAATATGTGTCTTTTTATCATCTGTTTAAAAGCTCTACTTATGTGAAATCAAAATAACTTTCAAAACACATTAGTATTGGTTATCTTAATCTTAATAAACTGAAAGTGATTCTAGTGGAGTAGTTTGTACCTCACGCAAGGTCTTATATTGTACCGATGCTACCATTTTGAATGCTCAAAAAATGCGTAATTTGTAAAAAAGTATATTAATTTCAAAATGTCAAAATGGAGATATGTTTAGGGGATAAAAGAGGGTATAAAAATGGCTCTTTTGCTTATCAAAATAGTAACATTTGACTTATCGCAGTATTTGCAAAATATGGAATTCCTAAACCAACATTAAAAAGATATTCATTTCATTAAATATATTTACAAAGAAATCAAAATAAAAAATTGGAAGGTGTAGCCCAAAGTTGAGAAAGGGATAGTTAGATATATTTTGAAACTGGAAACTTGTATGTTTGAAAAAAATATAACAGATCTAAGACGATCAACAATTGAAATTGCTGAAAAAAACAAAATTCATCGTCAATTCAACAAAGATATCTGTAGCGGTAGAAAAAAGTAAACTTACCTATTTATGAAACGTACCTCATTCCTTAGTTTGAGATTACTTCAGCCGAATTCTGTGGAAAGAGCCATATATTTATGTACAAAAGCCATGTTGTTACCCAGCACAATGGGGCCGAACGAAGGAAAAATGGCCAAAAATCGAAAAATCTGTTAATCCATTTGAAAATTTGCACAATTATAAAAAAGAGTATTCTAAATTGAATGAAAAAATAATGAAATATTTTTTGAAAAAAATTTGACCATTTCTTTCGAAATAGAGTCTGATAAGAATTTCTTTAGCAATAATTTGACATTCAGTGATTTTTTTTTTACTTTTTACTATATTATATAAGTATATATTTATAGCTTATAAAAAAAACTAATGGAAAAAAAAAAAAGGAAAACATGCGTATTTATAAAAGGGATCGCGGTAACAGAGGGGAGTGGTGAGGAGTGATAGGCTGAGTGCCCCCGCCTCCCCACAACATTTTCCTAATTATTAAAATAAAGTGTAAATTACTATGTAAATAATATTTTAAAATAAAGTGTAAAATATTATGAAAATATGAATAAGTTTTTTATACAAAAAATAAAAACTTAGCTGCCATCTATGTTGCAAGCAAATAATATAGAAAATTTATAGTACAAAATATTTTGTTCAATTTTATTGATACTCAATTCGAACTTGCAACCCATCGGGTAAAGAGTTCAACACTATAAACACTGCGCCACGTCTGCTATTTTTATTATAAAAAATCATAACATTATCTTACTGATATATTTCAGAATCTACATTTGTTTCATATATGTTACTGTTTTCAAAATCATCTTAATCATTTTCACTGTTAGAATCATCATCACAGTTTTCATTATTAATATTTGTATTTAAGATTATTAGTTCTCTTACTTCGGATGGCATCTTATGTTTCTTGTACTTTTGAATTCTTTGTTGTAATCTTGAACTTGAAAGAATTGAATCTGAAGTCTCCATTGCACGTGTGAACACATCTAAGAGGTTGTGTTGGCGACTATCTTTTTGAGCATGATTGATTCTTTCTGATCTAAAAATTTCAGATAACATGCCACAGTGGGGCTGAACAAAGGAAAAAATGGCAAAAATCTTAAAATCAAGTTTTAAATTTTTGAAAATTTTATATGCTAATTTTAAATCTTATTTGTAGCTGCATCTGAAACAGATTAGTTTGTACTTAAAAAATGTTGGATGTTGAGTAATCATTAGAATCAAACTCAAACTGAACGAAATTTGTGTTAAAATTCCTATTTTGAGTGTATTACATTTACTTTGTGACTGCTGTTTTAAGAATATTAAATTATATATCTATGTAAAGATAATGATTAAGTCTATCAATATATGCAATAAAATTAATTCAATTTAGTTTGTTTCCAATAAAAACATATATATTAATAGCGCTTTTAGTTTGTTTATAACTTAAAAGCTAGAAATATAATTTTGCTGTTGATGGCCGGTGGAAGTCTAACTTGCAATAAATACTTGAAACTTAGTTCAATCAAATTTGATAAAAACTTAGTCTGTCTTGTTCTGTTTGATTCATTGTTTTTTAAAAAACTTTTTTTTTGTCGTTTAAAAAACTTTTTTTTTGTCTTTTTTTAAAAAAAAATTTAAAATAAAGACAGGTGGCATTTCTCTCAGTATACTGATAGAAATGATATCTGCAGTAAACAATGTCCACAGATAAATAAAAGCTTGAAATGTGTAAATGCATTAAAAAATGATTATTAAGTATAGTGAAATTGCTGCAGTTATAAAACAAAATGTTAAACATTATCTAGCGATTGAAAAAAGCTTGTTTTGTTGTGAAGAAAAACGTAAAAGAGACCTAAAGGAAGAAGAAAAACAAGTTGTAACACAAAAAATAAAAAATATAAAAAATGATACAACGAACATTAGAGAAAGCAAGGTTGTTCTTCTGCAAGATTCATGAAATACCATGAAAGTTGGTTTCAAATTGAATACGAGCTTCCAATAGAGCTTAAATGTGAGCGATCCAGTTCTGAAAAAACGAAAAGAGGAAAACCAACTATGCCGTTTTTGGAGATGTCTGCCAAATTCAAACGCTGAGTTATTGCTAATGTTGTATCTACTAACAAACCCGAAACTGAAATGTACCTCAGAGTTGCTGCAACCGTCGCCGCACAATATTATAAAAAAGACTTATCTCATTTAATCAAACAATTTATTCAAAGTCAAAATTTGGCTGCTGTATTAAATAAGATTAATTCTGAAGTTGTGAAAATGCCACCGGAACAAACGTTATCGTTTCTTTTTGATACGAATTTGTCCAAAGATCAGTATACTCAAATAAGATTTTCAGCTAAACTCAAGATGGCGATATTTTCCCTCCGTATAAGTTGGTATTAGCTGAAAAATCTCAATGTTGTCCAAGTGAAATATTGCAAACAGAAAACTGCATTGAAGTAGAATGGAAGCATTTATTGAAAAATGCTTTAGAAAGAATTAGTAAATTGCAGCATGACCTTATTGAGAAAGAAATTCCAGAAATTAATGTTGTTCAAGGCAAATTTATAGTTTCTTATGGCTTTGACGGTAGCACGCAACAAACAAGGTTCAATCAAGACCTAAGTGAAAATTTTAGTGATAGTTCATTATTTGAGACATCTATGGTTCCTGTAAGATTGCAAACAAGCTGTGGAAAAATTTTATGGACTAATCAAACTCCTCAGTCTACTAGATTTTGCCATCCACAGAGAATCGAATTTGCAAAGGAAAGTAAAGAATATGTAATTCGATTAAAAAAGAAATATGATAAAGAAATAGCTGAACTCGAAGAGGTTGTGATTATTTTAAAGTCTGGAAAAAAACTATTGGTTAAATGTAATCTGTGTTTGACGTTAATAGGTGGAAAGATTCAAGCATTTATTACAAAGACATCTCTGTTCCAACAATGTACTGTGTGTGGTTGTTCTTCAAACTTAACATTCATATAGACATGCCAAAATCAAGCGGTGGCAATAGTAATACAGGAAACGTTGCAAAAAGAGCATTCAAAAATCCGAAGCTCTTGTCTGAAATTTTAGACATCGACTTGGAGCTTATTCAAAGATTAAGAATACTTTTATTGTGTATTTCTTATCAATTTCCAATTGACCCAGTCAAATTTAATGACTATTGCTTCTCAACAGCATCTCGGTATGTTAAATTATATAAAAGATTTCCTATGACTCCCAAATTACATAAACTTTTGATACATGGCTCACAAATCATATCAAATTCAATTGTCCCTGTTGGCATGCACAGTGACTCAGGACAATCAAAAAACGGCAAAAAATAAATAAAAATTGACATAAATTGTAAATAAATAATGTTATATACTAAGATAATAATTTTTAAGCCAAAGATTTCAAATTTGTCAATAATTTTTTTTAACGCGCAGCTTCGACGCGTAAAATGCGGGCTTACGCGTGTTAAAGGTGACTATACGCGTACAAAATTTTTTTTTTTTAAGTTTTCAAAATCTTCTAGACAAACACATAATTTTTTGTATCTTACTCTACTTGATATTTTTATAAAAATGGTTTTTAAAGGATGTTGATACATAGAGAAAAAATACTGTATTTTTTACATTAAATTTATTATTTACATTACAATTAAATTAAAAACTTCATCTGGTAACGGTTTTCTTCAGGATTAGGGTTTACCTCGATAGCTCTTATGTTTTCTAAAAGATATTCTTAATATTTTTGGATCTGATCTTACTAGAAGGTAGTGCATCTGATTTATCATTGTGTTTAACCTTGATATTTTTGCCGTGTGCTTAGGTCTAGAATTTCTTATCTGTTTATTTAAACTCTCTGGTGCATTTGGGGTGTATTCGGAAGAATATACCCTCTCGGGGTATATTTTTCCGAATATACCCCAACTGGCAAAGGTAATTGATTTGATATAGAAGAACTATGCAGTAGCAGTTTATGTACAGTAGGAGGCAAAACATACCAACATATCAGTTGTATAAACTCACTATACGTTTAGCTGTTTCAGTGCAGTATAAATCTAATTCATTGATATTAATAGGATATCCACATGACATGGTTATGAGAATATTATGCAATCTTTTAAATATATCACAATCAACTTTAGTAATTTCAGAAAAAACTTCACTATTTTTAATTATTTTCTGGCAGTGTTGCCGTCATTCGTGTTTCCAGATCCAGTTTTAGGCATATCAACATATAGACTTGACAGTTCTCTGAAGAGTACCTGAAGCTCTTTTTTTTTAAGTCTACAGATAGTTTTTCCTCAATTGTTTTTGGCTTATACTTTTTAATTTCAATTTTATAACTCAAATCAAGAATGAACTCCAAGCATTTTACCCAGCACTGCAAAGCTGAAATTCCGAGCCCCAAGGCCGAGTCATTCTCAGTTTTTGCTTTTAGTAAATCAATAATGTTCATTTCCTTGGGTTTAGCATTGCACACATTGCAGGATTGAGTGGATTTTGTCTCTGTAAGTAGTGCACTAACTACTTTATTATTTTAATTACCAAACATTGAAAGATCATTCCTATAGGTGGTATTAAATGTCAAAATTCTTCTTGCAATATTAAAAACTTTACAAAATACCTTTAAGGTATTTATTTGATTTTTTAGATCTGATTCTTCTTCTCTGGATAAAATTGAACTCTCTTTTTTATATTGTAGATGAAAAGATCTACAAAAGTTACAGCTTGAAGGATTTTCATTTTTCCAAATTTCGCCATCTTCTACTTTGAGCAATAAAGGCACAAAAGCTGTACTGAAAAGATTTTCATCATGCTTAAGTTCTATACTTGCGTTGCTTGTACCGTATTTCTGTTTATAAATACTTTGGCTTGATGTTCCATCAAAACCATATAAAACTCCATATAAAACTCCAAGTATTTCATCACTTTTTTCAATTTCCGTATAAAACTCCAAATATTTCATCACTTTGACCAAAATTAGGCATATCAATCGTTTCTGTTATTCTACTCAAAGTGTGATCTGACATGCTTTGAAGAGTACACTTTGCAGAAATTTCAGAAAAATGTATATTCTCTGAATAGCATTTCAATTTTTCCACGAAAATATCGTGCAAGGTAGGATAAATATGTACGTTGTATACAAGAGCTGAGTTTCTGATCATTTAATATTTTTTATCGCTGAGATCAGTATTCATTTTTAATGCAAGAGCATCCTCTACACTCATGTTAGTGGGAAAGGTTTTATCCAAAGTTTTATCAACTTTATTTCTAAAACATTAGATATATTGTTTTTTAAAACAGAGGCTTTTTTTTTCTCCTGCAGCATTTGCACTTTTTGCAGAAGCTAAAAATAGAGCTTCATGATGTTCAGTGGCTAGTTCTTTAATTTTTTTTCTTTCGCTTCTCTCTCCAAGAACACTCAACTGTTTATGGGGCCTTCCAGAACCAAAATGGCTATTTTTATTGTTCATAAGATTTTTTTGAAGCCAACGATTTTCTTTTGTATAAATGTATCATAGTTTCGTCCACATTGTTTTAGTTTTTTATTCATCTTTGAAATAAATATAACTAAAGCAAGCTTAACTTTATTTAAGTTTTCTTTGCGAATTTTTCAGTAATTTTTATTTCATTAAGTAAATCCTTGCATAACTTTAATTTATCAACCCCTAATTTACGTATATTTGGGATAAGATCTAATCTTTTCATTGTTATCCTTTTTAAAAACCATCAATATAATAAAACTAGTATGTTAGACACATTTTAAATTACATTACATATTTTTTTACTTTACACCGTTTCAAATTTTATCTTGTTATGACTTTTAACAATTTTCACATTGTTACATCCTATAATAACACACATTACTTGGTTAACTTTATATTACTTGTAATATAAAGTTAACTAAGTAATATGTGTTATTACAGGATGTAACAAATTGGTATTTATTGAAACGGTAAATACCAAAGTTGTTCAATTAAGCTTTTTCAAACATGTTGTACTTATCGAATAATAAATCGTTCTTTAAAATTGTCAATAAATATTTTAACAAACTTTTAAATAGTATATAATGACAAAAGAACGTTTATTAAAACTATATTTAATATTTATGATTTAAAAACTATATTAGAACAAGTTCTACAAGCAAGAAACTTAACTTTAAGTTTCCCGCCAATTTCATTTGTTTTGATATAATAAAGTTCTTAGCAAAATCGCGGAAAACAAGGTTTTTATAAAACCATCAACATTTTTTTTTCGTTTAATAACTTCCAATACCGCAGGAGACCAAAGTAATTATTTTACATTCCTACACGGTCGTTTACAAGCGCTATGTTTAGGTTTGCATGGGTGAGAAAATGCAAAAAAAATTTTAACTTTTAAAATGGCTACGGTTCTTAAATACAGAGTATATTTTATATGGCAACCGTGTTATTTGTTATTTGATCTCTAAAAACTCAATGTTGTAGCCTTATTTTTATGTAGATCAGTATATTATTACAAAAATTTCAAAAAAATGTATATAAAAAAAAATAAAAAGTATCTTAGAGTACTTAACCTTTATTTTCAATTAACAACTTTTTAGTGTAACTCATAAATTTGTTTACTTATTTGAAATCAATTTTCTTAAAATCTGACTGTAGGATTTCAATATCTTTTTTTTTAAACTTCAGATAAATATGTATTATATTTATGATATTTTTCCGGTGATTGTTTCAACTTTTTTTCAATATAAAAATCGCCGTGGATAGAGTACCGAAAGTCGGTACTATAAGAAAATTTTCTTATAGTACCGGAAGCGCTGCAAAAGTCACGTGTAAAAACAAATTTCGATTTTCAAAGATTTGAATTGGAAAATATGATTTTATATTGGAAAATGTCAACTGTAAAAAATATAAAGGTTTTGGAAAACGTCAAACTTTGTTAGTACTTTATGTTCCTTTTTTATAAGATTGTATTATTATTCTCAGACAGTAACTATTATAACTGTTTGTTCTATTTCAATCAATGAATAGTTTATATTTTTGAATAAAGATCTTGCATTCAAGTTACAAATAGTTATAAACTTATATGAGTTAAACACCTTATAATGCTAATAATATATAATAAGGATAATAATAATAGTAATGTAAGCAATATATCCAAAAACATAGCTTTTAAAATTCTTATAAACAACAATGATAACAATAACAACAAGAGTAATAAAAATAATATTATAAACAAAACTAATTCTAGTGTTAGTGTATAATTCAAGTAAGACAGTAAAAATGAAAAGCTGAAAGTTACAGAAAAGCAGTAATAAAAAAAAATAATATTAATCACTATAAGTGGTTAGACTTCCCCAGGTTTAAACATTTTCTTTCTTTCTTATGGTTTCTTTTTTTCTTTATGGTTTTTTTTTTACTTTAAATTAAAATTTTTGTTTTAAGTCTTTCTTAGATTAAGTATAGATTATTATAGATGACTTAAGAAACTAAGGCATGTAAGATATTGCTACAAAAGTTGCGATTTCTATCTCCTCCACTGGTAAAAATTTCATTTTTGCCCAAATAGAAAGAACTTAGTTCCCATAACCTTGTTCATATCTTTAGAAAAGTTTTCAGGGTAATGGCATTTCCTATGTATTCTTTAGCTTCTTGTGCAATCTGATGCATGTAAGTTTTGTTTTTCAAAATGTTAAAAATAAATCAATCTTAAGAATTAATAAATACAATATTAAGAGTTAAACCTGAAAAATAGAAAAATAGTGTTCAAATAAATCCAAAATAAATATAATGCTAGATATTATAACAGTTTAGTGACATACTCAAGGAATTATAAAGTATAATTAAATAAAAACAATTGTAAAACATTAAAACAATATACACAAAGTTATAGATTTAATAATATTTTTATTATAAATAATATAATTTATACTGTAACAGTTCAAAAATAAACAAAACAAAAAAAAAAACTTGTTTATGTAGGTTATTAATAAAAACAGCACACTGCAGATATATTGAACTTTTAGTAACTCAAAGTGTTTTAACATTCCTGTTGAAATCTCACTCACACTTTCTCATAAAAATCACTATGTTGATAACTCAAACCCTTTGATAACTCGAAAATTCAAACTATTTTTTTTTGTCCCTGTGGCTTATAATATCCCAATAAGTTGAACTTTAGAAGAAAAATATTAACATAATCTTATTAAAAATAAATAATTTTCTTTTATTACATTAAACTTTTTTGATTTCCTTAATATCAATCAAAAAAGATATTACTTCAAAACTGAGACATAAGGATATTTTATATTTTATGATCTATTTTGTTTTCATTTATATTTTTTTATTTCTATTTTATTTTTATTTTTTATTCACATATTATTTTTATTTTATCTATGAATGCATCCAAGTTTTCTTGCTAAGTAGTGCATAGTTAATTTCAGATTGCTTTTGATTAACTGCTATAAATGCTTCATATCTATTGCTCTTTCCGATCTGGTCAATGTTGCAATTCTAAGTTGCTGTTATAAAAGCATTGAAACTTTTTGCTGTTGTATTACTGAAACTTTTAAAGCAAACAGTTTGTTAACATGTCAATTTTTACAATTTAGAAAAGATGCAATGAAGATTTTATTTTATTTACCATTTCAGATTGAACAATAAAAAATAAAATATAATAAAAAAAGGAAATCAAAGTTTTACAGGTAAGTAAAAATTCAAACTTTTACTTACCTTTAAAAGTTTGAATTGTGAAATATCCTAATAACTAGAACATTTGCAAACTTGAACTAATTTCTTGGCTTCCCTGAAGGTTTGAGTTATTGGCAGTATACTGGATTTATTTTATATTAAATAACTTTTTTTATTTAGAAATACAAATATAATTTATTACATAGAACTTTTTTTTTAGCAATACAATTACTTTTTTTTTTGCTTATTTAATTTATGAAATAAGCATCTAATTAATACATTTTTTTTGTAGGACATATAAGAAAAATTGCCCTTTCTACCTACACTTTAAGGCATCGGAGGATGGGCAAGCATTAATCTTGCAAGAATTGAACATTACACATAATCACGAAGTATCTGAAGTAAATTATTATTATTTATACTTAAAATATGTTTTATAAATAGCATTATTTTACAATTTTTTATATAGACAGAAAAAAGTAATGAAATCCATAACACTTTTTTTACTTTTTTTTTGGGGGTTTTATTATTTTATATTATGATAAAATTATAATTAGAAAATCTGCTGCGGGTTATTAATATAATTTGATAATTATATATATATATATATATATATATATATATATATATATATATATATATATATATATATATATATATATATATATATATATATATAGGTATATATATCTATATACATATATATATATATATATATATATATATATATATATATATATATATATATATATATATATATATATATATATATATATATATATAAATATATATATATATATATATATATATATATATATATATATATATATATATATATGTATATATATATATATATATATATATATATATATATATATATATATATATATATATATATATATATATATATATATATATATATATTATTTGAAAACCATAATCTTGAAATTTTAAACAACTTACTTCAAAATGTATTTGATTTAGTGTGAATCTGCTGCTATGAAGAGCTCTAAATTGTTTTCAAATAAATTATTTTTAATTCATAATCAAATTAAAAAATCTTATTAAAAAATCAAATTAAAAATTCGTTATTGGGAGTTTTTATGAACTTTTTGATTTGAATTGATTTGTGGGTGTGATTATATATAGATTGTGGCTATACAAGCTTATATATTCCTGGGTTTTGTGTAACTAAGTAAGATGTTTTTGAATTTTTGCTAATTTATAAATAAATTCTGTGAATTCCCGATATCTTGACCCCTGGATAATTTGAACTTTCAGTAACTCGTATTACTTTTGAGTTCCCCTCGAACCCTCACTAAGAATCATAAAAACTGTAAATAGCTTGTTAGAATATATTATTAAAGTTTAAATAGCCTTTACAAATTGCAAAATATGTCATAAACTGTTTTTGTGCATAAATCAAATCAAATTTATTCTGAAATTAGTTGTTAACATTTCAAGGATATTTACAATAGTACAAGTGTTAATATAAAGTAAATTCCTAACAAATACAATATTAACATAAATATAGCTAAAAATATTTAACAAATACAACACATCAATTTAAACAACTATGAAGATAATAATAGTAATAATAATATGATATTTAATATAGTATAAATAATACAAATAATTGAAATAAAAGTAAATATCAAATCAAAATAGTGAAGCTAAAATATTAATCAATAATAAGTCTAATGGTAGTTAAGTAGTTAAATATGTCTTCAGATAATATTAATATCACCTAAAAACATAATAATAACAAAATAATTACGATAGTGAGTGTTAGTAAATAAAAGGAGACTAATATTAATTAGAAAAAAAATTAAAAAAGACAAGTACCCAGAAGTATTAAATCAGAAGTTAAGCAGCATTGATTTTATATTAAAATAAGCAAAGTTAGGGATGTAATAGATAGCTAGCAGTAAAGGATAGTTAACTTGAGGAGAATACTCATCTAACAAAATAATAAATAGATTATATTTAAATTTGGAAATTGTAGGGAGAAATTTTAACTGGAAGGAAAGACTTGCAGGTGCATATGCTCTGGTTTTTAATACATTTTTGTCCATAATAAACAGTTCGATGTTTAGGCAATTATAGTTTGAACCTTTTAGTTGATTGAAGATTATAATGAGTATTTTTATTATAAATAAAAAAGTTAGTAAATGGAAAAGGTAGGGTTTTATGTTGTTGTTTCTAGACACACAAACAGCTTGAGTGTTAAATGAGGTCCCATAGTTTAAGTATTTTTTATATGTAGTAGAGGATGTTAGGGTCTGAGTTGAAATGTTGGAGATATATATATATATATATATATATGTTTTTTAGGGCTCTATTTTGGAGGTAAAATAATCTAAAAAATGTTTTGGACCAGGTTTGTACCCATCTGAGACAAAATTTAAAAACCACTTAGTTTCAGAGCTAGATATTAAAGATGGAATACAAAATTTTGAATCAACTTTGATACCAAGATATAATTGACTAAATCCAGAGGATCTACTTTTTCACCATTCAATGTGGTGTTATAGTTTATCAACAAAAACAACACATGCAAACAGTTTATTTTCTATAATTTCATTATCTGAATTGTCTATAAAACAGTTTGTTGAAATCAAAATTTTGTTAAAAACAAAAAATGTAAAGTTATGCACATCAACCAATCCAAATCTGGCCCTCACATCTACTTCATCAATGAAAACAACTCTAATAGCAGAGTCAAAAGAATCCAGCTAGAAACATTAACATTGGAAAAAGACATTGGTGTTCAACTATCTGTTGATCTAAAGTACAAAAGTTTCAAGTTTTTTAACAATTGCGTTGCAAATACTTGGAATGCTCTGCCGAATGTTGTTTTCAATGCCTCTCCTATTGACAGTTTCATTAAAAAACTAGACCAGCAACTCACATAGTTACCACAGTACATCATTTTCCGTGGCTGTATTATTGCAGCTATACAAGCTAGCTTCTAGCTAATGATGAACCTACAGTTCATATTTGTACCGTGTAACTTTAATTGTAATTATAATATTTAATAGAGGCGTTTATTTAAAACTAAGACAGAATGACAAAAACTTTTTTAATTTATAATGTATTATTTTTCCTTTGAGATAAAAACTTTTGATAACTTAAATTTTTTTACCTATCGACAAAGGTTTGTGTTAAAGAATGTCTCCATAACTCAAACATTCACTAACTCAAACTATTTTTCTTGGTCCCTTGGAGGTTTGAGATATCAAGAGTTCACTGTATCATTAATTTTTTTATAAAATATTATCACAACCTATTTTTAATGTATTATAAACATTAAATAATGTTTTTTTATAATAGATTTTTTATAAACACTTACCTAATCATAGAAGACTACCTGATTATGCTATTGCTAAAGCAGAAACCTTGTTAAGTTTGAAAGCTAACAAAAAATTACTTCAACGAGAATTGTTAAATGAGACTGGGAAAAAGATAACGCTCCGAGATCAAATATTGCTGCTTCTGCACACAAAAGTGACACCCGAAATGATTTAACAGCCTTTATTACAACTTTAAAGGAAAATACAGTAAGAAAGTTATCAAGTTATTTTGTCTTCTGTAAAGTAAAGTATTAATTTAACATTTGATAATTCAATTTCGATAATTTTTTTTTTTTTTAATGTTAAAAATAAATATCATTTCTTAAATATAAGTTCATCATTTATTTACTGTAATTACATTTAAATGAACTTTGAAAAAATTCATGTTTGACAAGTTTCATGTACAGGTATAGTGCCCTTAAAAAGATAGTGCCCATAAAAAGACAAAATAATTATATTGCTGATAACTATTGTTAATCAAAACAAAAAAAAGATATTCCAAAATATAAACCACCCATATAACCTTTAGAAAAAAGTTAGGTTATAGTGATGAAGTTCAAAAGTTGTTCTTATGTTGTCTCAGAAAATAATTTTTTATATATAGTGTCCTTATTAGGAAAGCTACGAATAGGGTCTTTATCAGAAAAGTAATTGCTTTTTAATAGTTCGATACAAACAGTTTAGACTCCTTAAAAAGTGCTTTGAAAATGGTAGTATTTTTGTCTTTTTAAGGGCATCGTTTATTTTTATCTTTTTTTTTTAATTTTCAAAAATAAAAACTTCAAAATAACAAGCAAAACTCTGTTTTTAACACTGCAATTCTATCAGCCTAACGGAATTTATTGAGACTCTTTAATACTGTCTTTTTCATCGTCAGACTTTCTAAATAACTTCTAAAATACGGCAATTTTTTTTGTTTGTTGTAAACTTAGGTAAAATTGTATCAATTTCATAACAATTTGACACATAGGGCATTGTTTAAGTTTTTCAGCTTCGCAAATGCTTCTGTCTGAAACGCATTTTTCTTTGCATCTATACGACAACTTTGTTTCTTCTCTCCTTCTCTTCTTCCTAACTTTTTTCTTTCTTTGTGTTCTTTCTCCTGTGGTTTTTTCTCCTTTAAGTTGTTAATAGACTCTACAAGCTTTAGCTTTAGTAACATTAAATAAAGCATCTGATAAACACACTGTTGTATGTTGTTAAGGTTTTTTTTTCATATTTTATTCTTTAAAACTTGCTCTATTACCATTGTACTTTTTTGGAATTTATCTATTTGCATAAATGCAATGTTGAAGCTTTCACTATTAATAGTGATCTTTATTCCAGCTTGTCGTATCGACTCTGATGTGGCCCACTTCTCCCACATACTTGCAAAAGATAACATAAAAGCCTCTATTAATTGTTTGATTTTGACTAAACAAATTTTCTTTTATTTTTTCATTAATTTTATGAAGCCTTTTGTTGATTTGATCAAGAAGTTGCGTTACCCAGTAGTGTCTGGAGGTGATATATACAAATGTATTTTTTTCTCTCTAGGAAATTGAAGTATGGTTTAATGGAAACAAGAACTGTGACAATCTCTCAGTAAAACAGGACAAAGTATGTCTTTTGCAATAACGTGCTTATCAAATAATTTATAAAATGTAAGTATGAATTTGTGATCTTGTGATCCATTCTCTGTTATCAAAATCAATAAGTTTGAAATACTTCGAACAGTATTTATGGAGCCATTTGTCTAGTATTTCCTTACGTATCAAATATTACATGGCAGGTGCATTTTTCATCTAAGTAATAGATTAAGCAGTGAAAATTTGTTTGAAATTTCAAAATATAAATTACATTTCTTGTCTTAAAATATATCTATTTTTAAATTTGTCATTTTTTTGACAATATTCACTTATACTAATGAGTGCTTATAGAAATAAAATTTAAAAAAATAGGTTTTAATATCTAGTACTATACAGCATAATATAATAACCTAAAGTTTAAAGTTATTTTTAGTATAATGTACCAGATAACGACCTCAATGGATTTTTTATAAGACATTCACGATAATATCAAATCAATTTTTGACAGTTTTCATTACGCCCATCATATACTAATCCGCTAGCTGAACCATTAACACCATAGTTAACAAACTGTGGTGTTTCATTGAACTGGTCTGTCAATTTGAACAGTCCAATTTGAACCAGTTACTTCTTGATTGTCTTCAATCATGATGTCACAAATCACTGATTCTTTTGCAAGATCATCTAAAACATAATAAACATTCTTTAAAATTTTTCTTGAAAAACTAAATTGGAACAAATTTCATATTTTTAAATCTATATTAGCATTTCTGACTTATTTTAATGAAGTCATTTAATCTAATTCCAAATCCCAGTAAAAACACTGTTTACTTTTATTATTGACATATTTGTCATTGCCTAAATTAGAGCAGGCCATTTCACGGGTACAATCAGTATTATAAAACAGTATTATATAATCAATTTACATGATAGAGCACTGTACTTATTTTTGATGTTCTTTTTTCTGTAAATTTGTTTTAAGCTGACATGGACACAGAAACTTACACTTTCTATATTGAATAATACAATAGAAAATTTTTAACTTTTTTACAAACAAGTTTTCCAAAGCAATAAACTTTCTTCTTCCTTTTATCTTTTTGTTAGCATGATCTTGAATTTTTTACACATCCATAATAAGATTTTTTAGTTTTTTTCTGTTCATACCTTAGTAATTTCAATTTTTACATCGCACATACTCAACCTTAATATCTTCTTCTTTAGTGGTTAGTATCGTTACGTGTTTTATTTCATTTCCTGTAAAAATAGGTTATCTAATTGCTTATCAATCACAATTTTGTTTTATATTAACGTAAACTGACCTGCAGAACATCCTTGTTTTCCATTAATTTGGCACCATTATACAGCTTTGTTTAACTGTTTGTTTCTTTTATCTCGGATAGATTGCATTACAGTTGCTTCAGATTTATTCCTTGACTTTTTAAATACAGAGTTTGCATTTGCAGCTACACTTAAGCTATATTGTTGTTTCATTATTTTATTTTTTTTTGTAATTAAAAAATTTTAAACTATTAAAACAATTACTGTACAAATAAAGATATAAAATAAACACAAAACAGGAATTTTCTTATTCTTAAATCTTTTTTTGAAGTTGCAAAACAAGAAGTAGGTGTTAAAAGAAATTGATCTGTTATATGAGTTACTACTACCTTTCAAAATAAAATTTAAGATATAAAGAAAAGAAAAAAATACAGTTATAAAAAAATACATTAATGAAATAGTTTTAGAAAAAGAGTTTTTTAATGCTCATTACAAAAAGCGTTATTTGGGTTATTTCATGACTTTTCTAATTATTTCAAAAAATCATTAAATAATTCCAGATTTCTTTCTATTATAAGATACCTATACTAGGCAGATAATACTATGCAAAATATCTCCCCAATTGAGTTAATCTTTAAGGAGACATCAACAATAATAATATTGTCTTTTTAAGGGCACCTTGCCTAAAATAGACAAATTTCAAATACAAATAAAAACATTAAAAGTTTAATTACTGTTTTCAACCGCCAGGATGGATCGATATGGCTTTATACAAAATAAAAAAAAATGAATTTAAAAAAAATAGGCTTTCCCAATATATTTTAAGCGATTTTAAATTTGTTGTCTTTTTTAAGGGCAATATACCTGTAAAATTAAAAAAAAGTTATTTTTTTTAAGTTTACCTGTCTGAGACTTTTCCGAGTCTCAAACAGGTAGTACAGTGAAGAAAAGGATTCTACATTGTTCTAGGTAATATTTTGAAGAATATTGGTGAGAATAAGAAGTCGATAATATGTTGAGACTTAAATTGGTTTGTTGGTGTGGCTTCAGATGGTTTTGAGGCATAGTGGAAAAGGATTTAGCATCAGAAATGCTGAAGGAGAGATGTTGTTCGAATTTTCTGATACTACGGGATTGACAGTCTGTAATATATGGTTTACAAAAAAGGATTAACATAAAATAATTTATGAGTCTAATGGTTTTGAGACACAAGTGGAATAAATCTTAATCAGAAAGCAACATGGAAAATAGGCAAGCAACATAAGAATAATACCAAGTGAGGCTTGTATTCCACAGCACAAATAAATTATTTGTGACATGTTGGTGGAAAATTTGAAGAAAAAACATCTTTGTGATTGCAGAATTTGGAAATTTAAAGAAGATGAAATGTGTAAACATTTTGAAAAAAAAATTAAAGCAAGAAAGCAAATCAGATCAAAAAGAAACGTGGAAAGTAAAAAACATGAAGAAATGCCTTGTTGTTGTATCTGATGAAGTATGTGGAAAGAAAAAGTGATCTTCAATGCCACAAAAAATCCTAGTGGTGGAATGAAAAAGTGGCTAAAGTTAGATCAGAAAAGAGGATATTTCATAACATCCGGAAAAAGTCTGGAAATGAAGATGATAGGCTACTTTCTGTGGCAGAGCGCAAGTCAAAAAAAAAAAAGCCATATACAAAGCTCAATTAGATGAGGAAAACTAATTAAGTAAGATGCTAATATGCTAATATTATATAAAATATTTTTAAAAATTGCAAAATAAAGAGTTAGGATAAAAAAAGGCTCTGCTGTGTCTGCAGTGAATAAGGTTAGTGAGCCAGCAGAGCAGATAACATGAGTGAAGTGAATTACCTATTAAGAAGGCTCAATTAGGTAAGGCTGCTGGTTCTTCTGGTGTATTGGCAGAGGTGTTGAAAGCTTCAGGTGATGTAGGTTTTCATTGGGTTCTGATCTTTACAATCCGATTGTATATGAAGGTAAAATCCCAAATAATTAGAAGAAGCGTTGGATGGTTAAGATTCACAAGGAAGGCGGAGACGCATTAGAATGTGATTCTTATAGAGGAATCAAATTGCTAGACCAGGCAATTTGATTCCTCTATTTATTTCCTCATTATTTTGTTTTCAATAATTTTTAAATTATTGAAAACAAAATAATGAGCAGTGTATTTATCAATAACATTCAGTTGGTTTGAGGCCTGGAAAAGGAATGACAGATGTCGTTTTTATTGTAAGGCCAGTTTAAAAAAGATTTTTGGAAAAGAAAAAAGATCTGTGGATAGCATTTATTGACCTAGATTTTGACAGAGTTCCAATTGAGGTGGTGTGGTGGGTTTTAAGGTGTTTAGGTATTGAAGAATGGCTAGTCACTTTCTAGTGTTATGATGTATGGCAGTGAAACATGGGCAATAAAGGTTGATGATGTTCAGCGTTTAGAAAAGACAAAAAGTATGATGATTAGATGGATGTGTAGTGTGATTCTAAAAGACCAGATAAGCAGTGGTGATCTAAAAAATAGAAAATTATTAAAATATTTCTCATTCCTCTATGTATTTATACATATATATTTAATTTATTTGTATAATTATAGTTTATTTTCTTATCAGTATATAATACAAAATGTATTTTAAATGCTAATGTTGAAGTTTTGACAGATACAGAAGATAATTTGCTAGGGCTTTTTTTTCAAGATTTTTTTATGCACAGTGCCTACAACGCATATCCTGAGTTTTTATGTATGGATGCGACATATGAATTGTTAGAAATTCGACTGCCTGTTTATATTCTGCTATGCGAAGATGGAGCTGGTTGGTTTCAATTATTTATTAATCAAAGTTTTGATGTTTATAATTAGTTAATAACCGTGAACATCATATTTAGTTATGCCTAATTTGCATTCACTTTTTTGTATAGGTGAAAGTGAAATAGCTGCTGTAGGTTTGCTCACGCATGAGGATGCTGCGTCTCTTAGGTATAATTTCTTTGCTGTGACTGGCTATGATGTATATGCATAATAACAGGTAAAACAAATATTAAAGTAAACATACTGACATTTTATATTCTTAAATGGCATTTGAAAAATGTATATGTTACATTTATAAACCGCCACAATAATAACTAGTCAGAATAATATTTTGAGGTTGTTAAAAGAGCATCTTATCTGAAGTTGTTAAAAGATCATCTTATCCTATTATGTTTTTTTTTCCACTTTGAGCACTGTATATATATATATATATATATATATATATATATATATATATATATATATATATATATATATATATATATATATATATATATATATATATATATATATATATATATATATATATATATAAATTAAAAGAAGAATATATATTTTATATATATATATATATATATATATATATATATATATATATGTATATATATATATAAATTAAAAGAAGAATATATATTTTATATATATATATATATATATATATATATATATATATATATATATATATATATATATATATATATATATATATATATATATAAATATATATATATATATATATATATATATATATATATATATATATATATATATATATATATATATATATATATATAAATTAAAAGAAGAAAATATTTCGTTTATTGTTTATTTTGTTGACTAATTTTTTTACTTATTGGTTATAAACATATTTCAAGTTATATATATATATATATATATATATATATATATATATATATATATATATATATATATATATATATATATATACATATATATATAACTTGAAATATGTTTATAACCAATAAGTAAAAAAATTAGTCAACAAAATAAACAATAAATGAAATATTTTCTTCTTTTAATTTCACAAAAATTACTCTAACTATAAATTTTAGCACTAGAGTCCTTTCAAAAATTCACAGTAGTGCTGTTTTTGTTATTATAACAACAAAATATAGTTTTTAAAAAAAACAGGAAATGATAATTATTTAATGTTGCTATTAGCAACCATTGTAATCTATATTATAATGTCAATTAAAAGTATCATGTTTTTGGTTGTGAAAATGTTTCTCATAAGAAATTAGGTTTTTTTCATTTTTTAGCTCCACAAACACAAAAAGCTGGAAAAAAGATTCTATAATGGAGTTATGCGCACGTTGACAATTGTATACATGGTTATCAAACCTATCTGTTGATTGCCCAGTTCTACAACTAGAAATGTGCCCATTAGTGCGAAGTCGTAGGTTATTTGTTTTTCCGGTGTATGTAGCTTTCTTGTTACATGACAAACATTTTAAATAATATATTACATTTTTACTATTACAAGTAATATGGCTTTTTATGTTCCATATAGTACCATTTGATGTCGTAAATGGTTTAACTTCTTGAAGGTAGAATTTACATATTTTGCAACGATTATTATTACATTTAAATAATCCTACTTCTTTAGTGGTTGATTGAATTTTTGAAGAAGTAAGTGTTTTCAGTAGATTGGGTGGTTGTTTATACGCAATTACTGGTTGGATATATATAAGTAAAAAGTACACCATGCTGTCAAAATATATGGGAATTAAAAGATAAAAATATTGATGGTTTTACACTGAATTGGTCCATCCTTAAAACAGTGCCTGCATATAACAATATTTCCAAAAAATGCATACTATGTCTACAAAAAAAAATTGAAATAATTACACATACAAAACAAGAATGTTTATTAAACAAAAAATTGGAATTGATTTCTAAATGCAGGCACAAAAATAAGTATCTCCTAAAAAACTATAAAAATAAGTGAGCTCAAATAATAGTTACATTAACTCCCCTTTGAAAAAAATATATTATTTTTTTAAAAAAGCTTAAGTAATCATTTCTAAAGAATTCTTTTTACAATAGTGTCAATATGCTTTTTTAACCTTATTTGGGTTTTTAAAATATTTGTAAGCCAGCATTTCCTAAATGCCAAAAATATCTGCTTTTGATTAGGTTTTAATTGAAAAAGACCTTGTTTTTCTACAATACAACTTGTTTGTTTTGGATTATCAAAATAAATTTTGTTTTTGTTATTGAATTAAAGTTCTAAAGTTTACTTAAGAATTTAAATGGTTACGATATAAAAAAAATTGGACCAAGTGTGGTGGTTTAATTTTTGATATTGTAGATAGATTTTGAAAACTTTTGCTCAATTATTTTTTGTATGAGATAGCTATCAATATATATAACCAATCAATTATATATATTGATCAATCAAATATTTGAATATAACAGTACTATAGTTCACCAGACCCTTCAAGTCTTACTCTAATTAATGTCATGATGGTTAAAATCACCGATAATTACAACTTACATTTTTGGATTTTTTGGAAAAGATTACAAACACTTTGTATTTAACTCAGCAAAAACATCTTTTGTTGAGGTGGTAGGTGGTTTGTAGGTACGTCCTCCAATTAATGTTTGATGACTTCTAATTACAGATTGAACACAGATTTTGATAATTAATCACATATTTCTTCATTGTTAACAATTTTAAATTTTTAATTTCAAATTCCTATGTTTAAGCTATAAGAAATTATTAAACTAGAATCAGTTATCCTAAATTATCCTTGTACTGAAATTTGTTAACTGAAATGTCATTTAATTTTTATCTAAAATCGGAATTTGTTTTTACTCGTGACTTTTGCAACCAATAGACGCGCTTCCGGTTTTATAAGATAATTTTCTTATAGTACCGACTTTCGGTACTCTATCCACGGCGTATAAAAATTTGTTTTTACTGTTATGACTATTTATTATAATATATATATATATATATATATATATATATATATATATATATATATATATATATATATATATATATATATATATATATATATATATATATATATATATATATATATATATATGTGTGTGTGTGTGTGTGTGTGTGTGTGTGTGTGTGTGTGTGTGTGTGTGTGTGTGTGTGTGTGTGTGTGTGTGTGTGTATAAGTGCATATATTTGCATATATAAACTCTTTAAATGCATATATTTGCATATTTATGTTTAAAAAAATAGGGAAATTTTAGCATAAGAGTATTCTTTTTTACTGCATTTTTTACTTTTTTGTTGCAATATTCAATAAACTTTAGTACAAAATATAATAAAACATTTTCATCTAATAATAATCTCTAATAATAATCTTATTTTTTTAATAATAATTTTAGTTTTTAGTTATGTTAATATTGATTTGATTTATCTGACTTACTTGTTTACAGTTAAACAAAAACTGCAAAGGGCAAAATATAAATAACTTTTCGAAAGGAATGGCGTTAGTCAGCAACATCTTCAACACATAACCTAATGAAGGAAACAGTTCTAAAAGTAGTTCTATATTATATTTGCAGTTTGATCATTATTTGTATAATGCTTTTGTGACATAACTATTATAGATTTTTTACTAAAGTGTACAGAGCAAATGTTTCATCTGCAAGTATTCTTTGCAACAACTTATGCTAAAGAATTGTGCAAATCTTGTATTGAAACTGTTTTAAAAATTACTAACTCTTGTTTGTGAATGACAATTGATAAAAATGATGCTTCTGGGAGATCACAAATGCTATGATTGGAATATAACATTAAGAGCCAGAAATCAAACAAAACATTTTAGACATATGAGCATGTGAAATTTTATGGAAAAAATTTTGGTAATTATTATGTTTTTTATTTCTGCAACACCATACATTAGGCCATCCCATTTTGACCCTCATGAACAAATTTTATTTCACGGAGTGTCTCAAAATGTTCCTAAGATATTGGTTTAATAATGAATTTTTTTTTTTTTTTCTGGATGAGTATTTATTCTCGCGCCATTTGTTTAAAGTTTAACTTTTTAACATTTTTTGAGTTTTTATGGGCAGTTTCAAATGATCAGCGCGAATAGAAATTTATAAATCTTTAACAATTTAACTGCGTCAATACAATGAATGGAAGGTTTTTTATCCATACCGATTGTGCGCATTTTTATTATTATCATATTTGTTACCAGGTGGTACTTTAGAAACGCAAAAATCGGGTAATATTTAAAAAAAGCGCAGTTTAGAAAACAATTTTTTATCGCGCTACTTAACAATTTTTAATTTTAAAAAATCTATTATTTTTACCTCAAGTAAGTTTATTATAACAACATAACATAATAATGCATGTTATATTTTATAATTATAGTTAAATGAATTAGGTTATTTAAACATTTATAATATTTTAAATGAACTTTTAAAAAATTTTAAACTTCATACAAATTATGAAAATGTTTATAGTGATTAACATTATAATCAATGAGTAACATTATGAAACTTTATTTTAAAGCTAGCTATGACAACAAAAGTATCTGAGTTGTATCCCTGTCCCCAGAAGGGGTTTAAAAAAAGAAGATCGAGTCGCAAGAACATGCTCCTAGTTAACGTCACTCTGGATAGAATGGAAACAAACCAGCTGCCCCTAAGGATTCACGTTATCCAACGCTACTTATTTTTAAGAGAACAATTTCCAAAGAAAGTACTGAAGGATCTCGTCGCTTGTCCTTTAATGTCCAAAACTTTCCAGTAAGCTTTTAGCTTTAGAAATCAATAGATAAGAACGTTATTTCATGTTTTATGTCAAATATAGTAAAGATAATTTAATAAGTTATGTTTTTAATTTACGGAAGTTCTTCATAGATTAAAATGCATAACAAACAATGAATTTTCCAATGTCAGTTGTATCCTTTCCGGAATCTTAATTCCTTGGAGAAAAACTGGCTTCAAAGTCATCAGTGACAAAAGGATGATGTTTCATGTCAAGAAGTATGAAAAAAAGTACATAGCATTGAAGAAATCCCAGAAAAAAATTGGAATTGGTTATCTTGAGACAAGAAATAAATTTGAGAAATCAATGACAGGTAGGGGATAAATATTAGGTGTTAAGATTTTCTAGTCAAACAGCGAGTACTAAGCTAATTTATTGTGAAGTAAATAGTTTGCTTTTTCTTGTTCTTACCTAATAAAATTAAATTTAAAGGATTATTTTGGGCTGGAGAAGACATTACGCTTCTTGAACGTAGTTTAAAGACTGATAGGCTAAGACTGGAAGCAGATAAGATTGAAGATTTAACTTTCATACGGGACCAGCTAAGTTGCAGAAAGATGGTGATTGGAGCGTTGGACTGTCGGTTTGTAGATGTTAGTAATAGATCTGCATCAAGAAATAACTCTAAAACCTCTGGTATAGTAAAAAAAACTTTCCATGATTTCTCCGGATTTGCCTCTGAAAGTGAAATGATTACTGATGACTCTAATGATACATGTTCCGAAGATGATTTTAAGATTGGTAACGCATCAACGAAGAAGACAGTTAAAAGTATGACTCTAAAGATACCAAAAGACATTTTTTCAAAAACTGCCAGAACTGCTATTGGGATGGGAATATCTACTAACCAGGCAACAGCACTTATCTCTTCTTTTCTTTGCAATGCCGGTGGAGATATAGAAAATGTAACATTATCTCACAGCTCAACTCACAGGATTTTTGATACAATAATAAGAAATGATGCTGGTGTTCTTAGAGCAAACATAACAAGTATGGTTAAGACGAGCGGTAAACCCATCATTGTGCATTTTGATGGCAAAATTATCAAAGATTATACGGGTAGCATAGATGAGACAAAAGACCGAATTTGTATGCTTATAAGGCATGACAATCAGACCCATCTGTTAGGCGCTCCAGGGTTGAAACATGGCAGTGGTGAGGCTCAGTTCACAGCAATTCAAAATCTATTAGATTCTTTTGATCTAGGGCAGTTCATCCACGGAGTTTGTTTTGATACCACTGCTTCAAACACTGGCTATTTAAAAGGAGCTTGTGCAAGATTAGCTAATTTTCATGGCCGACCATTGCTCTTGTTAGCCTGCCGCCATCATGTAGGAGAGCTCCATATAAAACACTTTTGCAATGAAGTTGCAGTAAACAAATCTGTTGGACCAGAGAATCAACTATTTAAATCTCTAAAGCAGAACTGGCATGGTATTGATGCAAACAACGAGAAGATGCTGTTGAAATTTAATCACCAGAATGTTAAGGGTACCTGGTTGGAGACGCAGGCTCTATTGGCGCTAAAAATTTGCAAGGACCTGATAGATAAAAACAGGTTAAGAAACAGTCAGGTAAGGTTAAAATAAAGAAATATATTACTTTAAAACAACTTTATACCAAATATATATACCAACTATAAAAAAATACCAACTAAATTGTTTTAGAATAATGACATAAATAAATTACACTTATTACATTAGATGTTAGACTGTCATTATCAACA